TTTGATTCTATGATTTTATGTGCTGCAAAACCAAAGTTTTTGTAGTTTCATAAACTTTTACAATGTTTTCATGATACAGAACCAGTTAGGAAATGACATTTATAACCCAGGAACAAAAATTGTGTTACATAGTGTAATGCAACAAATTATCTAGACAAGTAATTGAGTTCTGTTTTTTTGGACATCTTCAAAAAGAGGCCTATAGCAGTCCCCCAGCTATGGGTCCTCCAGCTATTTGGGATATCATTTCGCAGAATTTCTTACCATTGGCCTGGAGAATGGAGTTGGTTACATAACAATGTATAGGTAAAGGTAGATTAACAATGTATAGGTAAAGGTAAAGGTTTTCCCCAGACATTAAGTCCAGTCGTGTCCGACTCTGGGGGTTGGTGCCCATCTCCATTTCAAAGCCAAAGAGCCGGCGTGGCCATAGACACCTCCAAGGTCATGTGGCCGGCATGACTGCATGGAGCACTGTTACCTTCCTGCTGGAATGGTACCTATTGATCTACTCACATTTGCATGTTTTCGAACTGCTAGGTTGGCAGAAGCTGGGGCTAACAGCGGGAGCTCACGCCACATCTATGCTGTCTATTTAATGCAGTTTGACACCACTCGACATCGGAATCATAGGATTTGTAAGAAGAGCCACAGTAACACAATGGGTTGAACACTTGTGCAAGCTGAACTGCTGACCTGAAGGTTAGCGGTTCAAATCTGTGAGATGGGGTGAGCTCCCATCCATCAGCTCCAGCTTCCCATATGGGAATGTGTGAGAGAAGCCTTCCACAGGATGGTAACACATCCGGGCATCCCCTGGGCAATGTCTCTGCAGATGGCCAATTCTCTCACACCAGAAGCGACTTGCAGTTTCTCAAGTCACTTCTGACATGATAGAGAAAACAGAGTTTGTAGTTTAGTGAAGCACCAGCACTCTTTTGCAGGAAAAAGTAAAAAGACCTTGCAAAACTATAACTCCCAGGGTTCCATAGCATTGAGCCATGGGAGTTATAGTGGTGTCAGATCCTAAAAAGCACTTCTTGTCAGAAAATATAGTGTTGAGATAAGTTTAGATCAGGCATGGGCAAACTTCGTCCCTCCAGGTGTTTTGGATTTCAAGTCCCACAATTCCTAACAGCCGATAGGCTGTTAGGAATTGTGGGAGTTGAAGTCCAAAACACCTGGAGGGATGAAGTTTGCCCATGCCGTTGTAATGCCATGTTGCTGTCAGATACAGAGTGTTACCTGATGAAATCGTGACCATTTGAACCGCATTGTCTCACGTGAAGCCTTCTCTTTTCCTCCTCCTCTGCTCTTAGTCTATTGCAGAAGAAGTCACAGAAGAGAACCTTGCAGAAGGAAGGTTGTATCCACCTCTGAGCTCCATTCAAGATGTCTCCTTCAAAATCGCTGTCAAGGTGAGAAGAGTCCATAATATTTTGGTTTAGGTGCAAATGCTATGTAAACTCCTCTGTCTAAAGCAAAATATCCCTGTATCTCCTGCCCTCCAAAATGACAAGAGAGACTTGGAAATTGCTTGCCAGGATCGTCTTCCTTTCCTTCATGCCGTTGGCGCAGTGAGTTAAACCCTTGTGCTGGCAGGACTGAAGACTGACAGGTCACAGGTTCGAATCCGGAGAGAGCGAGGATGAGCTCCCTCTGTCAGCTCCAGCTCCCCATGCAGGGACATTAGAGAAGCCTCCCTCAAAAGATGGTAAAAAATCAAAACATCCTGGCTTCCCCTGGTCAGCATCCTTTCAGATAGCCAATTCTCTCACACCAGAAATGACTTGCAGTTTCTCAAGTCGCTCCTGACACACACAAAAAAGATTCTAAATCATTTACTTTCTGCTTGCTGAACTGTAATTAAAAGTTGCTAATGAAAACTGAAAAGTAAACAGTTTCTCAAGTCGCTCCTGACACGGAAAAAAATGTCGTTGGTTTCCATACTTCTTTCCTAGGCAGAGGTGGACTGTAATTTCCAGAATCACTAATAGATGGGAATTCTGAGAATTGGGTTCCAATGTATTGTCGAAGGCTTTCATGGCCGGAATCACTGGGTTGTTGTAGGTTTTTCCTAGTTCCAACAGACCTCACTACCTCTGAGGATGCTTGCCATAGATGCAGGCAAAACCTCAGGAGAGAATGCCTCTAGAACATGGCCATATAGCCTACAACAACTCATTGGGTTCCAATGTTTTGAACCTCTGAGGATGCCTGCCATAGATGCAGGAGAAATGTCAGGAGAGAATGCTTCTGGGACATGGTCATACAGCCTGGAAAACACACAACAACCCAGTGATTCTGGACATGAAAGGCTTCAAAGATTGTTCAAAATTACTGCCCTAAATTACTTATGCATTTAGCAGGTTCATTGAATTACTATATATAAAAGAAATGTGCTCCAGATTTCAGTCATGTTTAGAATAGAAAATAATGGGATCTAAGTCAGAATAATCGAGTTGAAGGAAGAACCACAAGGACCATCCAATACAATCCCCTGCCATGCAGGAAAATAGAATTAGAGCACTGGGTTGTTGTGAGTTTTTCCAGGCTGTCTGGCCATGTTTCAGAAGCATTCTCTCTTGATATTTTGCCCTGTCTATGGCAGGCAGCCTCAGAGCTTGTGAGGTCTGTTGGAAAGTAGGCAAGTGGGGTTTATATATCTGTGAAATGTCCAGGGTGGGAGAAAGAACTCTTGTCTGTTTGAGGCAAATGTGAGCGTTGCAATTGGCCACCTTATTTAGCATTTAATGGCCTTGCAGCTTCAAAGCCTGGATGGTTACTGCCTGGGAGGATCCATTGTTGGCAAGTGTTAGCTGGCCCTGATTGATTCTTGCCTGGAATTCCCCTGCTTTTGATAAGACTCAATCAGGGCAAGCTAACACTTCTCAACAAAGGATTCCCCAAGCAGCAATTGGCCAGGCTTTGAAGCTGCAAGGCTATTCAATACTAATCAAGCTGCCAATTGAAACATTCACACTTGCCTCAAGCAGACAACAGTTCTTTTTCCCACCTTGGACATTCCACAGATATATAAACCTCACTTGCCTAAGAAGGTGAAAAACCTAGTAAAACGATCATTCCCAGGAATCCATAGCACTGAGCCACAACAGTTAAAGTGATATCAAACTGCACTAACTCTACAATATAAATGCACCACAAAGTAAATGCATGCTGAGCCTCACTTATTTAAGACCAGTTCAGATCCTTCATCCAGTGTGTGTTTCTCTCTCTTGTTTTTCAGGTGGTTAACTATGCCTACAGACACAACCTGGCCTCATGGTACCCAGAACCAGAAGACAAAGAAGCCTTTGTTAAATCCCTCATTTACAGTCCCGACTATGACTCATTTGTGATAGATAATTACCAATGGCCACAGGAAGCCATGCAGACTCAAGATATTTAGTGTTCTCCTGTGGGGAGGTCTTAAAGGGACTCTGTTCCTCTGACTCTTACGTCTCTACTGGCTTGAATCATCAGCTATAAAGGGAAGGGTGAAGAACCACCCATTTTGGATTCATGCAGATGCCTGTTTTTCCTTTTATTTCATTGTTACACATTTCATCCGGAAATAGTCAGCAGGAGCTATTTTGTAGACTTGTGCATTTCGGCTGAACCCGGATCTGTTTCTGCTTGCCAGATTTCAGTAGACCCTTGTATCCATTTTCGTGCACCACTTGAAAACAGGCGGGTAGCCGGATAGCGTTTTTCTGGGGAACTTACGAGGCTCCCCTTTCCATTCCTGGGATTCTTTCCTTTCTTCCCTTCAAGGGAGCCTGGGTTTCAGCAACAGGGTTACGGAAGCAGACACAGCTTGCATAAGACATGTCACTCCTCTATTCCAATTGTTGTACACCAGAGCAGGAACACCTCTGACCTTAAATACCACACAGGCAAAGCAGTAGAAATAGCAAAAGCAATAAAGGTCCAATATATAAAACAGTCCATAAGCTTCAAGGGAAATGTTGTACACCAAGGCTGGAGTTGGCACTTTTGAACCCATAAACACACCAATGTTCTTTATAAGCGAAGCATTGAAGATTAATATAGCAATAGCCAAAAAAGGTAAAAAGCATTCAAACAAGTAATAATGAGATGTCCACAAAATAGACAGTCGAGTAAGATCAGAAGTAGAACTGAGCTCAAGGGATGATAAAGTTTTGCGGTTGAATAAACTTTTTCCATGTTTTTCTGATAGAACCCATTAGGAAATGACATTTATAACCCAGGAACAAAAATCATGTTGCAGTTGAAGCATCGCTAGAGAATTCATGAAAGTATGCTGCAGTAAACACACATCGCCCTAAAATCCCTTTGCACACTGATACTCCAGATCAACACAACTATGCCTTGAATGCAGCCCATCAAATTGTTGCTTTTGGAATGTTTTTTTTCAATTTGGGAACCACCAGAATTGGTTGATAGTCCTAGAAAAAATCCTATGGAGATCACAGTGTTGTTCCAGAGATTCAATAAGGAGAAGAGTAGACAATAACACATTTCCAGATGTTTTCACCTTGGATAGCAACCCATTGGGAAGGATGTGGTGCTGCCTTTCCTCTTCCCTCAGAGTATTTCCTCTTCTCTCAGAATATTTTCTCATTTACATCCTCACCTATTATTTAAAAACCACCTTTTGTGGTCTATAGCTAGGGACATTTTCAGCTCAGCACTCTTACCAGCGAGCAAGTACTATTAAGTAGACTGATGATCAGTTACAGCAGTTTGAATAATATATATTTAGAAATGGAAGAAAACAATAATACGTATGGTGAAGGTGGCAATTTGAGACATTTGGCTCTTCCAGATGAAGAAAAATTGCCCTCCAGCAAACCAACCCTCAATTTACACAAACTTTGAAAGAGCTGTAATGTGAAGATCCAACAAATTGCTAGAAACACTTGTCTGAAAGAAGGGAACAAATGGAAGTGGAAACAACATTGTCTTGTATGATAAGAATTTACACGTCTTTAGACTGACTTAGAATCATAGAGTTGGAAGAGACCTCGTGGGCCATCCAGTCCAACTCCCTGCCAAGACGCAGGAAAATCACACTCAAAGCACCCCCGACTGATGGCCATCCAACCTCTGCTTAAAAGCCTCCAAAGAAGGAGCCTCTACCACACTTCGGGGCAGAGAGTTCCACTGCTGAACAGCTCTCACAGTCAGGAAGTTCTTCCTCATATTCAGGTCAAATCTCCTTTCCTGTAATTTGAAACCGTTGCTCTGTACCCAAGTCTCCAGGGCAGCAGAAAACAAATTGCTCCCTTCTCCCTGTGACTTCCCTCATCATGTCTCCTCTCAGCCTTTCCTTCTTCAGGCGAAACATGCCCAGCTCTTTCAGATGCTCCTCATAGGGCTTGTTCTCCAGACACTTGATCATTTTAGCCGTTCTCCTCTGGACAAATATTTTTATTATTTATTATTTTATTTACAGTAGTTCTATTCCGTCCTTCTCACCCCGCAGGAGTCTCAGGGTGGATCACAATGTACATATACATGGCAAACATTCAATGCCAAAGACACACAACATATATAGACAGACACACAGAGGCTATTTAACTTCCAGCTTCATGAGGGCATGTTCAAATTCTGGCCACTGGGGGAGCTGTCACTTTACTGTCCACTTATGACACCTATGGAGTACTTCCTCATTCTTTTGCACACTGCTGGAGATTTTTATGGCATCATAAATTAGTTAAATTAGCCTCCACGCATAAACGGTACCTAAATTTCCTACTTGACAGATGCAACTGTCTTTCGGGCTGCAAAGGTCGACAGCAAGCCTTGGAGCTTACTCTGACCAGGGCTGGCTTTGAACTCATGAGTTCATGAGTTCAAAGCCAGCCCTGGTAGTGATTTTAATGCAGCTGACTCCCAACCAGCTGCGCCACAACCAGGTCCATTCCAGCTTGTCAACATCTCCCTTCGATTGTGGTGCTCATTATTGGGCACAGTGTAATTCCAGGTGTGGTCTAACCAAGGCAGAATAGAGGGGTAGCATGACTTCCCTGGATCTAGACACTAAACTCCTATTTATGCAGGCCGAAATCCCATTGGCTGTTTTGGCCGCCGCATAACATTGTTGGCACGAGGACTCCCAAGATCTTTTTCGCACGTACTGCTATCGAACCATGTGTCCCCCCATTCTGTATCTTTGCTTAGTCTCAAAAACCATATCTGTATCTCTATTGGATCTACAAGTCAAGGAATAGTATAGAAATAGAAATAGTATAGAAAACTCACTTTTGTGTGACAATTCCTCCAACTGGATTGGGTCCTTTCAGCATTGCAAGCCTGATAAATGGCCTAAACCGTAGAAGTTGTTGAGTGTTAGACATAGATTATAAAAGAAAGAACACCGATCTGTCCTCAGATGAACTTATAGAACTTTTCTAAGAAAACATACGCCACAGTCTGATTTTAGCGCATTGTAAAAAGTTCACCCACGGTGAATTATAATCAGGAAACTAAATTGCATCTCACCAGACAAAATGTCAGCATTGTGAGGTGTTGAATGATCATCAGCTTTATGGATTTTTAAAGGAAATCACTGCTTCAAGCATTCAGTAATCGTCTACAGATATTGACCTGCGAACAAATAGACTTTAGCATCCTGGTGTGATTCCTGTAACTCACAATCTCCAGGAGGGAAGAAATCCTGTTCAACCTTCCTGTGATAGCTGTGACTGAGCTTACAATATGACCACCATTGGTTCAATGACATGTGGGGAAAGGGACAATGCCCATGAGGTGGCAAAGATCTATATGACTTTCCAACCTGAAAAATTGCTTTATTTTCAGTCTTATCTCACACATTTATGCATGCGCACATTCTCGCTGAATGTCACCATATGGGATCAAGAAACAGAATTGCTTCTACGTTGCATGTTGCTAGTATCAAAGGATGTCAACCAGTTCATCTTTTCTCTCCATAGCCTTCTGAGTTGACACTCAACAACTGTTCTCTAAGCCCGTATCTCCCCATAAGATTCCTCCCAAAACCCAAAAGTGATGTACAGTAGCTAACCACCAACAAGGGCATTTCCATATCACAGCAGAGCAAGGAGGTCCTCAGAGAGCCATCCATTTACTTCCCTGAAACAGGCATCTGCAGGTATCTCTGGGGTCCTTGAACGGTTTTTGAGGATGCTTGCCATAGATGCAGGCGAAACGTCAGGAGAAATGCCTCTAGAACATGGCCATATAGCCCGAAAAAACCCACAAGAACTTAGTGATTCCAGCCATGAAAGCCTTCGACAATACATTGATGACATCTTTGTGTTACATCCATATGCCAGAAAATAGTGACACGTCCACATTAGTACCTGCTGCCCCAAAATCGTGCATCATGCTATCAAAATGCCATATTTGTTGCATTGTCTATCTCACTCTCTAATAAATGCTACACATCATTTATAGCAAAGGGAGGTGTGTGCTGTCAAAGGTTTTCCTGGCTGGAATCACCAGGTTGCTGTGAGTTTTCTAGGCTGTATGGCCATATTCCAGAAGCATTCTCTCCTGACGTTTCCCCTACATCTATGGCAGGCATCCTCAGAGGTTGTGATCTGAGGATGCCTGCCATAGATGTGGGCAAAATGTCATAGAACTCTAGAGTTGGAAGAGACCTTGTGGGACATCCAATCCAACCCCCTGCCAAGAAGTGGAAAAATCGCATTCAAAACATCCCTGGAAGATGGTCATCCAGCCTCTGCTTAAAAACCTCCAAAGAAGGAGCCTCCACCACACTCCAGGGCAGAGAATCATAGAATCAAAGAGTTAGAAGAGACCTCATGGGTCATCCAGTCCTACCCCCTGCCAAAAAGCAGGAATATTGCATTCAAATCACCCCTGACAGATGGCCATCCAGCCTCTGCTTGAAAGCCTCCAAAGAAGGAACCTCCACCACACGCTGGGGCAGAGAGTTCCACTGTTGAACAGCTCTCACAGTCAGGAAATTCTTCCTCATGTTCAGGTGGAATCTCCTGTCCTGTAGTTTGAAGCTATTGTTCCGCATCCTAGTTTCCAGGGTAGCAGAATACAAGCTTGCTCCCTCCTCCCTATGACTTCCTCTCACATATTTATACATGGCTATCATGTCTCCTCTCAGCCTTCTCCTCTGCAGGCTTAACATGCCCAGCTCTTTAAGCCGCTCCTCATAGGGCTTGTGTTATGGTGAGTTGTAAAAGGATCGGCACCATGTATATGTGTGTGTTAAAGAAAACCTTATACTGTTAATTATCATGTGCAGCTGCTAATCTAGGTCAGCAAGTAGGTTTGAGCCACACCCAGTGGGGTATAACTGTATGTAGTTTAGAATACAGTTCAGCTCTATGTTCAAAAGCATTTGCTCTAAGGAGTCTTTTGCTCACAGCGTTCTGCTAAACCAATTTGCACTGCTAATGTGAAGAGGGACGGAGAAGCTAAGCTCTTTGTGTTCTGTATTTCTTACAAGTTTGTTGCACTGTTTATTTTGTATGCAACACTGCAATTTTATATTTTGACTCTGCTGACAAGAGTAAAATTTTTCTGGTTTCTTTCCTCCTTCTTTTGTGAAAACTTACTGTGTTTCTTGCATTGGACTAGACTAAATTTCACTTAAGTGCAACAGCTTGTTCTCCAAACCTTGATCCTCCTATGGACACATTCCAGCTTGTCAACATCTCCCTTCAATTTCAGTGCTCAGAATTGGACACAATCAGGAGAGAATGCTTCTGGAATTTGGCCATACAGCCCGGAAACCTCAGCAACCGTTTCAGCCCGGAAACCTCAGCAGCCCACAGTGAACCATTTCAAGTAGCACTGATCCAGCACAGTCAATGATCAGTCAAGAAAGGAGCTATAAGGCAATAAATGGAGAGTCACATTTTTTTCATCCATGATTTACCATCAATGAAGTATTTCCACAAATATAAATCACAAACCCTGGATCTCATGTATTTATGCTGGATTCTTAGGTTGAAAACAATTCCTGAACCTTTAATGGTTGTATAGAAGGCGACATTTCCGCAGATGTTTTGTTGCACAGCCAGGTAATAAGCAATACTTATTCCTTCTACTCAACTGTTAAAACATACAGTATTTTTCTCAAGTTTTCATTCTCGCCATCCTAGAGCAATGCAGGTCCATCTTTGTTACACAACAGAGAAATGTGTGTTGTTGCTGACTCCACCATCATTTCACACACATATATACGCATTCTGACTCAAACCATTCTTCATATTTAAGCAAATTAAGAAGTTTTATATGTTGTCGAAGGCTTTCATGGCTGGAATCACTGCATTACTGTGAGTTTTCCAGGCTGCATGGCCAGGAGAGAATGCTTCTGGAACAGGCCATACAGTCCAGAAAACTCACAGCAACCTACTAAGAAGTTTTGGCCCATTTCTAGACAACCTACGCAATCGTTAGTGCTTCATTCATACCAAAAGCTCAAAATAATTTACCAATATTCTTGCTTAGAATTTCCCAGTTTTTCCATGCCAAAGAAGCTGCTTTAAAATATGCTTGGAGTATTGTATCATAGATAAACTGGGACCTATATGATCCTTTGAGGTTGTAGTTTAGACTGTTACATAAATAATGCACTTTCATGTTCCAAACAAATACTTCTGTGAAAGTCATTGGAAGATCAAACCCTTAGACACCAACCATTCTAGTGGTTGTGTGCCTTCAATTTGTTTAAGACTTCTGGTGACCTTATGATAGAGATTTCTTGTTCAGATGAGGATTGTCTTTACCTTCTTTTTATTTTAATGTAATGGTCTGTGGATTATTGTACGTAATCCTACACTGAAACTCCTTGAATGTATCAATGTTAGATTTCCTATTGAACACCTCAGACAAAGATGAATGTACTGTCTGTGTATGAAAAAAAAATAACAATATATGCAACTCCTGGCGTAAGGTTTTTTTTACTGTGACAACCTTGAGTACTTAACACATGACACTGTGTGTATAATTTCTGATTACAAAAAATGCTATTGTGCTCTTGACTCCCAGGGAAGGCCAGCACCATTTAGTAAAAACAGAACAAAATAAAAGTCCATGTAAACAAATGGGTTGGTTGCATTAATCATTGCTACAGTCTCATATTGGAGCTGTGGTGGCACAATGGGTTAAACCGTTGTGCTGGCAGGACTGCTCACCTGAAGGTCGACGGTTCAAATCCACGAGATGGAGTGAGCTCCCACCTGTCAGCTCCAGCTTCCCACGTGGAGACATGAGAGAAGCCTCCCACAGGATAAAACATCCGGGTGTTCCCTGGCCAACATCCTTCCAGATGGCCAATTCTTTCACACCAGAAGCCACTTGCTGTTTCTCAAGTTGCTCCTGACTTTAAAAAAACCATCTCCTATTGCAAAAGTATCTCTCCTGTTGTCCCTTGGGCTTGGAACATTTGTTTTATTGGCATTGTCTGGTGAAACACAATGATTCAGAGTAGATAGATTTTGCTTTAAATCTCTTCCCAGGTGCAATCTCGCCAGGAGGTGGCCTTAATAAATCTTAAGCAAAGATCTATGGTAACTTCCAGTGGAAACCATCGATCTCCAATATGGTTTGTTATTATTCGTGGTTTCCTGTTTCCGTGGTAAGTTTAGAATCATAGCCTACGTGGATACGGGGGTTGTGCTGTATATGTATTATGTATGAAAGAATCGATGGAAGGCCTCGTTCTTAAGAAATCCGTCATCCTGCCCAAACAACCCAGATCCATCTTCCATATGAAAATAATTTGTCCTACTGTACATACTTTACAACAGAGGTCCTCAAACTTTTTAAACAGAGGGTCAGGTCACAGTCCCTCAAACTGTTGGAGGGTCGAATTATAATTTCAAAAAAAAAAGAAAAAGAAGGGGAAAAAAAGAATGAATTCCTATGTACACGCCGCATATCTTATTTGTAGTGCAAAAAACACTTTAAATGATATAATAATTAAAATGAACAATTTTAACAAATATAAACTTATTAGTATTTTAATGGGAAGTGTGGGCCTGCTTTTGGCTGATGAGATAGAAGTGTTGTGTGCTTTCAAGTCGTTTCAAACTTAGGTTGACCCTGAGCGAGGGCCACATAAATGACCTTGGAGTGCCATATCCGGCCCCCAGGCCTTAGTTTGAGGACCCCTGTCATAGAGGATGGAGCAGCAACACTCCTTTGTGGCTGGATTCGAGCATAACCTCCAAGGCGCCAAAAAGCTGGATGTCAACACAACATATCTCCTTTCTGTCTGTCTGTTTCTGTCCTGTCTGTCCAAATGGCTTTTAATGTTTGCCGCGTATGTGTACTGTGAACCGCTCTAAGTCCCCTTGGGGAGAAAGGTGGAATATAAATAGTGTTATTATAAAATAGTGTTATAGCCACTGGGAG